GACTCTCTCTAATATTTATACTTATTTTACATTAAAAAAATTATTATGAATCCACTGCAAAAGCACAAACTAGTTACTAAAATATATTTGATATTGTAGTAGTTGTTGCGATTGTAGTTTAAAATAAGTTATTTTATAAAAAGTACTTTTAGTTGAAATTGGTTTAAAAAAATATATGTCTGGTTAAAATTATGATTGAAATTGAGGTTGAACAAAATATAATTTAATATGTTTGTTTAAAAGAATGCCTTTTAAATTGAGGTTATAAAATAATTAAAATATATATATAATAATATTGATGATTTTTACTTTAAATATTGTAGATTTAACTACTACTATTACATCATGAAATAAATAATACTTTATATAAATTTATTAGATAATGATTATAATTTTCATGATTTTTTTGACGTGTAATAAAATCAGGTAAAATATTATCAGGAATAAAATTAAAATTATAATTAAATTTTATAAATACTAAATAATCATGTGATTTCTTTCTAATTAATTTAGTGTTATAAAATAATTTTAAATACTAATTTTAAAATAAAATATAATTAAAAATTTAAAAAAAAAAAATTTATTAAACCGAACTTGATTTAATATATTAAGATTGAAATGGACTCAGTCCAATCATTACTAATAAACAAGCTCAAGGGTGCAAAGTGAGTTTTTAATTCATTTTTTACAGCTCACTTAACTAAACAGTAAAAAGTTAATTAAAAACTCACTTTGCACAGTTCTGCAGAATGAACAATTCACTCTGCCGAGACTGAACGCCGGTGGAAGCAGCAAATTTTTGTTTTTGTTAAATTTGAGGTACAGTCTTAATCAAACAAGGTGATGTTTTAATTCACTTTTCACGGTAGGTTCTATCCAAAAAAAAACTTTATTTTTAAACTTAATCAAACATTAATATCTACGGTATATAATCAACCTTATCCGCAGCAGTAGTACCAAACAGTCACCGGTCTGTGAGGCCAAAGCAGATGACGGCATTCATCAACCTAAAGTTTGTTCACACTGGATTTGAGGCGCCCGTAAAAACTGTCCTTTTTCCATGTCAAAGCTCTGCCACTCGTGGGCTGTAAAATTAACAGCTCTGTTAATTGCAATTAGCAGTGCGGATTAACTGAGTAAAATACTGAGAAATGACACGGTTTTGGGATACGATTTTCTAATTTTTTAATATCAAACACATTGAGGTACGACACCGCACCGTACCTCAATGTGGTATAGACTACTTACCATAGATTACCACATCATCACTCCCTATAATAACGCGTACGGTTGACCACCGTCAACGTTGACTGTCACAGAAGCCTTTTGTGCGTAAGGAACAGGCCTTTGCTTGCGTGCACACAACTCGCGAGAGATACATCTGCATCATCCGCCCTCGACAAGACAGCGTCCGACTCCGATCTCAGAGATAAAGACGTGTTTGTGGACTCCTAGGTTTTCTGGACCAACGTGGATAAGAGCAGGATGTACCTTCTCAAGTTTACATCAGCTCTGGATCAAAAATCGATCTCATGACGTGGACTTGATTTGTTCGCATTGGACGTTTCTACCCTGTTTAACCATTGTTGGAGTGCACGAGGGTCATGGCTATTGCAGTGATCCCAGTTTATCACTCTTGAGATATAAAAGGAAGTTTAGTTAACTTCTATTATTAATTTTCATACTTAATATAAACTAAAATTTAATATTTAATTTTTTTAACATAGAAGAATAAAATAAAATCTTTTATATTTTATTATGTCATGTCCATCATAATCCAACAAAATACATAAATAATCATTTTATCTTATATATTATTATCAAATAAAATTTTATATTTGTTTTATTTTTTATCTTATTTCATATATTTTTATTATTTATGTTTTTTCTATCTTCAAATAGTGACTAAACATTATTGTCGGTTGAATTTGGTAGTAGTATTCAATGGACCGAATATTAATTTTTCATGGTGTTTTATTTAAAAGGAGGAGTGATTTAAAGACTTTATTTAATTCAATGTATAAAGAAATGTCAAGGATAATTTCAAATGTGCATGTGTGAAAAACATGATGGAGAGATAAATGATTAAAGACATAATGTTGTTTTTGTTTTTGTTCAAACAGATATGTGGGTAAGGAGTAGACTATTTGTACAGTGAAACAATGCTATTGGGCCGACTGGACACCCTCAAGGAGAGAGTGGGCCGACATCCACTTGTCGGCTGTCAGAGTCTTCATCTCAGCACCGGCTTGAAATAATTTGTGGGTGTTATTTTTCAAGGTTCACACCACGGATTTTGACCGTCTTTTGGCTTTAACCTTCCGTGATATGTCTTAGCCACTCGCTGCAGCTAAGAAACAAAAATTGAATTTCGACAATAAATACACAAAGCTTCCACCAGATTAATTTATTCGCGATCAAGAAGTATCTCCTCAATACCGACTTCAATTACAATATGTCATGTCAATTGTGGCGGTTATATCTTTTGACAGACGACTTTTTTTCGGTTTTAAGACATTCTTGAAGGGTCTTAGCTCTGGAGAGTTGAAACTTGTAGAGTATTAATTAATTTTCGTTCTTTCCTTCCCTTTTTTGTTTTGCGATTCATCAGGCTAGGCAGCTACAGTTTTTCAAAGTCGCTGCATGTGCAAGCTAAAAGTGGCGAACAAAGGAGATAAAATTGTTAAAAAAGAAGCGGGTAGTGTTGAAGAATGGCCGCTACCAGTAATGCTTTCTGGGTTGAATAGGGAGAGGGAGATGTCAGTTATGGTGACTGCTTTGACACATGTAGTGGCTGGAAATGTGCCTGCAGATGATTCTGATTGTATAACTGAAGCAGTTCCCAATAATCAAGATAATTGTGCTCATGGTGATTTGTCAGCGAAGAGAGAAAGGGAAGAAGGGGGTGGTGGCAGTGAAGAGTATAAAAGGCACGGTAGAGCATTTGGCGATGACTTCTTGCATGGGGGCTCATCTTCTGCAGGAAGAGGTAAGCTAACTAGGTTTTCTTTCTTCTTTCTTCTGGTTTTACGGTGAGAGTTATTCTGGAGCTGGTTAAATGAAAACATAATATTGCATGTACCTTAATATAATAGTCTGCCCTGTCTTCGCAAATCTCTATGAACTTTACATGCGTAATTTCTGCCATCTCTTATGGTTGCATGAGCTTGATTTATGCTTGTCTCATTCGCACCAAAATGCTGATTAATGATGTACTCGTCCCCCCAATATCTACAGCCTCAGGAAAATCCATCATCACCATGGCACCTGCAGCCACACGGATGGCATTCACCCCCGTATATGAATATAATGAAACCTGCAGAGACGAGCCGAGGAGAAAATACAGGGGAGTGAGGCAAAGGCCATGGGGCAAGTGGGCTGCTGAAATAAGGGATCCATTCAAGGCATGTAGAGTTTGGCTAGGCACTTTCGACACAGCTGAGGCGGCAGCAAGAGCCTATGATGAAGCCGCTCTCAGATTTAGAGGCAACAAGGCCAAACTAAACTTCCCAGAGAACGTCAAGCTTCGACCGACTCCCCCAGATCCAATAGCAAACCAGTTGACCGTCTCTGATTCTCCGAGTAGCACCGTCCTTCTGTCCGTTCCTACATCCACCGAGGCCATAGTTCATTCCCAAGCTCTTCACCATACGCAGAACCGTGAGATTTCAAGAGAGCAGGTGAACCAACCTCAATTGATCCTAGGTGTTGGTGGCTATCAAAGGCAACCCATGAGTCTGTACGACCAAATGTTTCTGTCACCTCCACTTGTTTCGTCTTATCCTTCGATGTCTTCTTCAACAGAGTATTCCGATCCTATGTTTTTAGCAGCTCAGCAACCAGGCGAGATTATGCCTGCCACTAGTAGCCAAAGTGGCGGGGGGGGAATTCAGTGGCC